GCTCAGTTCTACTTACTGTTTAGGGATACTCCTCTTTTCATTTGTTTTTTTTTTTGAACAAGTTGAAACTTTCTAGCAGAACAAGAATTCGTTATATTAAAGTTATTCGACTACACAAGATTTGATCGTCATTTTTACAATAAATTCACTTTTTAATATTGCTTCCGTACGATTTTCTCCTAAAATTTTATCCAATCGAGCTAAATTATAAATAATTTTTCAGATATTCAAAAGAAAATTCTCGAAAGTTAAATTCAGAATTTTATTATATCATTTTCTATTCAAAATATCTCAAAATTACGAGCAAAATTGTTCAAGTTTCAAGATTCCATAGCTATTGAATGTTCATATTTTTGAAAACTCTTCATTTGAATCTCGACAAGATATCATCCTAAAAAATTGATATTCAGAAAGACATCTCATTCTATAACTGCATATTTTTAATAGAAAAATCCAACTTTTTGAATTTAAATAGAGAGAAATGAGATACCATAATTAGGAGTGCATCGGGTTTTTTTTCCATATTTTTCAAAAAAAACATTTTCTTAATAAATAGATTGTATTTTAAACGTTAACGAGTTACAACATTTTTTTAAACGTTTACTTTGTAGAGAAAATATTTCTCTACAAGACAGTATACAGAAGGTATTTTAGAAGCTTTTTGTTTCCTTTTAGAAAGCGTTTTCTTCAAACCTATGGTCGATTATAATCGCGATTTTTAACCGATACGCCTCTTTATCAAAAATGCGTTTTAAAGAAATCAAGAAATTTTAAAATTAACTACTAGATACTATCTTGTAGAGAAATTTTTCTCTACAAAATTCCCGTTTTAAAAAAAGTGTTGCAACACGTTTTTACGAAAGTACAAACCATTTATTATGAATTTTAAAAATATACAAAAAAGAAACCGATGTACATAATACGATCGAGTTGTTTTACTATTTTAACATGGATAGTTTTCTTAATTTTTTTTTTTTTTGGTTGTTTAACGAATAGACAAGTTTTTTCTTGTACTATTTCGACCTTTACGTTCCAGTAGTACGAATTATATTTATCTCTATATTCTTATATTTTAAGTTGTATTGATGAATAAATTCTTTTCTTTAGAGAGTTGAGTATTTTAATAAAAATCAATTAAATACCAAGTGTTTTAACTGTAGAATAAAAATTTTATGTTTTTTGTGTTAAGTAAAATTAGTAACTAAAATAACCATAGTCTATATGTACCTTTTTCATTCATTTTATAATACATTGTCCGAAATATGTTTTTCTAGCATAATAATGATAAGAATTTTGTTTTGTTTTCAAAGTGTTGTTGTGAATAAGAAACTTATGTTCAATGATTCTTGTCCCTCAGTCAACATGGTAAAATTGTGGTAATTGATCACACCCTGCATACATATTTTATAAAATATTCTTTTTTTGGATTTACATAAATAGTTTACAATTTGGTTTCAAAAACATTCGATATCAGCAAAAAAATAAAAAAATTATATATATCTTACATATTTCAATTATTTCCATTATACAATCTACTATATGACACTATGTCTAATCTATAATTTTGAATAATCTGTTTTTAACCAATCTAAAGAGTTAAATGAAGTAACAAGATGTGTAAAATAAATCTTATTGTCATAATGATGACTATATGTACGCAATAATATCTTATTTTAGAATAAATATTTTCTCATCATATTTGTTAAACATAGTTCTAATTTATTTAAGCTGTTGTTTTATCTAAGTTATTAATACTATGTTTAATTAAATATTGAATAAGAAGCGTGCCATACGTAAAACTATCTATGTTATCTGTCGTTGTTGACACACATACTGAGATATGTATATTATAGCCAAGTCTAATCATTTAGACACTCTATATAGAGAATACAGCTGTGCAAGAAAAATTCAGTTTATAAAATTAGTTGTCTAAATGAACACGTTAATACGTTATTATTGGAATAGATATATATATATATTAACTCGAAAAAGAAGAAGAAGAACTTATCATTAAAACATGTCATCTATAACAAGAGCTACATTGCCACCTCCGCCACGTTTTAACATTCCACCTCCACCTCTTCTTCCTCCTGAATTTAATCTTAATCTCGCAGATTTAACATGTTCATCTATGAAACGATTATCATCAATTGAACCAAAACTTATTTCTTATAAATCGAACAATTATTTTCTCCTTATTATTAGTACGGGTATTTTTGTTCTCATATTATTATTAATTTTATTTCTATTCTTATCATACATTTATTATCGTCGAAAAAAATATTGTAAACAAAAAGTTTTAAATGTTGATCATCCATCGTCAATCAATAGTTCATATGCAACAATATCCGATCAAATAACAACAAATGATACATATTTAATGGCAATTAATTCATCATTATCATCGACGACTTCATCATTATGTTCATCTAATTGTTATTGCAATGATGTTAAAAAAATAACACCCTACTATCATGTTATCGATTTACCAGAATGAAAAACAAACTTTTTTCTTATTTTTTGTTCATTATGTTTTCTTACAGTGATACTTATTTGATTCAATAAATTATTGTTCATTCTTCTATGAAGTAATCAAAAAATCATCCCTTTTTAACATTGTATCTATCTTTGTCCTTGACTTAATGTGTCCAAAATATCTCCAATAGCAAAATTTTCTACATTATCTAGTAGAAACGACTTGTGATATAGAAATTATTAGCTAATCTAAACGTAAATGTTACGAACACAAAAAAGATTCTTACAAACAGCTGAAGAATCAAATAAATTCAAAACTTTCATGCAATAATTTTCTTAAAAGATATTGAATTTTTCTCTAGGCCAGTAAATGTTTACTTCATTTTACAATTCGTATATATGTATCTTTTGTCTTTATTTAGTCGAACAAAAACCTAAAATTAAATAATGTCTAGAAATATTTATATATTTTGTCATGAGCAAAATGACGGGCATAAAAATATGCTTGTCTAAAAGAAGAATATTTTTAAAATTAAAGGAAAAACATCTGCATCTGTTGTATTATTATTATTTTCAATAAAAAATTTAAATTTTTATTCAAGTTTTATTCTCATTATAAGTGAGAGGTAGATACTAAGGTTAACTACGATAAATTGACTTAAATTTGATGATAAAAATTATAGTGCAGTTGCGGCTGTAATACTCTTTGTACTTTGTTTAACATGATTAAAAGTTTATTACAAACTTGTAAAAATTGTTGACCTAATTATGCAGTCATTATCAAGTTTGCATATTATATAAAGTATTACATTAAAGTAGAAGTAATTTTTTAATATTTTTTATTCTATATATAGATACAATTAAAACTATTGCTGTAATTGTACTAAAATCTTTATTTCTTTAGTTGCCCTTTGATACTTATAATGTTATTAAATGGAATGTTCATCATCTACAACGTATGATCGCTTTTTGAACTTTTTATGTCTATGAAAAGTCTTATCTTCATCATTGTACAAGCATGATCAGCGTTATCGATTAGGGGTGGTAGGGAGTCGAAATCCACCCTCTCGTTTAGATAAAGTTACTCAAAAAATGTTGACTTACTCAGCAATTTTTTAAGAGATTTAAGTTGAGAAACTGCCTTTTATGCACCTGAGTAAGTGATTTTCTCTAGCTTCTGAGTAACTCATTTATTTGCTGAAAAACTGGCTCTTCGAAACCATATCGAATGACAACACGACTAAGCGACCTTAGAGTCAAAAATTTCTCTTCATATGCCATGATTAGTGTAAACGTGATAAATGGTGTAATATTGATGTTCGAACAGTTGAAGTGAGAAGAAAAGGAACCTATTTATATTATATATATTCAAATTCGGGACGTGCAAAATCGAGAAATGTTAGGATCTATATTGATGAATAGTTTAAAAAAAATTAATTAAATTTTATCTCGTTTTCTTCATATTGCTGATGAAACTTGTTTTGAAATAAAATATAATGAACAAAAATCAGTCAAAGACTGAGTTTCTTCAGCTAATTGAAGACTGATAGTCTACAATTAACTTAAAACATGCAGTTACTCAGAAAAAGCTTTTAGCCAAAAAATACGTTACTCAAGAAAAAATTTTAGTTACTCAGCAGACACTTCCCCCCCCGAG